CCGCGATCCCGGTGACGGAGGTAACTCTTGCGGCCCCTCCCCCGGGCGTGGCGGAAGAGATGAAGGAGGACGAGGTCCCTGCCTCGATGGGTGGAGGGCTGCACGACCTACCCTTGTCGTCGGGGCCGAAGGCGCTGGAGGGGAGTGTGGCCGGAACGGAGTTGGGGCGCCGGTGGCATCCCGTGCGAACAAGGTGGTGGAGATTCCGTTTGATGATGAGGCGGATACCGTGGCGGAGCCACCGGTGTCGCCGCGGGAGCTGGCGGTGGTCCAGTCGGAGGCTGGGCCCTCCGGCGGTCCATCGGAGGGTGACCTAGAGTGGTCTTTTCTTGAGGACCCATCGAAGGCGATGTTCGCCCTCCGGGATTCCCGGGAGCGCCAGCTCTAGGATATTTTTGGGGGGCAAGGGCATGCCACGATGTCCGAGCTCACCAAGCTATCCGCAAAGCTTGAGAGAGCACCAGAAGTAGGCCTAGTTTGCTCGGCAGCTGGTTGAGGTCGACCTGCAGCTCGCCGCGAAGGTGAGTTTTTGGTACTCTCCCTTACCCTTTGAGTCTTTTATCGGTTGTTTATAGCATGCCTGTTTTCACAGGAAATAAGGAAGGTGTCGTCCCGCAAGTCCCACTTCCTCCGGGCGGAACATGCCCGGATGGCCAAGCTTGAGCGTCGGGTGGAGTCCGCCTGCCGCGAGTCCTAGGTCCGGACGGCCGAGGCGGCCGCGGCGTGGGTGGAGGGACAGCGTGCTGTGGAGCGGGCGACCGCTGCCGAGCAAGGGCTCGAGGCGGAGAGGGTTCATCATGAGGAGGCTAAGGCGGGGGTGTGGGCGTCCCTGGCGAACACCGAGGTGGCGCTGCGAGAAGCCTTGGTGACCCTTGAGCCAGAGTGGACCACCCTTGAGAGGGCACAGAAGGCCCTGGAGGCGGAGCAGAGGGCCCGACCAGAGGCGGATCAGGAGGTGCTCGTGCTCCGGAGCCAGGTGATGGGGATGGAGGACGCAAGTGCTCGGCTGCGCGAGCAGGTGGTTCGGTAGGCGGAGGACTTCTCCACCCTTGAGGCCTCTCGCACCGGTGCATACCTTTTTGTTTTCTCGTGGTGTTGATTTTTCCCTCAGCCTATTTTTGAGTTTGTCGTCCTTCCTCCAGAGCTGGGTGAGAAGGTGAAGGCGCTGGAGCGAGACCTGGAGGCATCTAAGGTGAGCTTCAGCCGGAACGCCAAGGAGCTGGCCAAGTCCCATGAAGAGCGACGTGTTCTCGAAGGGGATTTGGACCAGATCCGCAACGCTGCCCGGCTCGTCGTCTCGGAAATCTTTGGGTCGGTGCCAAGTACCAGCGTGCCCATGGCCCAACTGGCGGAGGTCCCGGACGCGGTCAAGGACCTTGTCAGGAGCGCGCTGTTTTATGGAGCATCGGGGGTGCTGACCTCGGTGGCGACACACCACCCGAGCCTAGACTTCGACGCTATCTGCGGTGGGTATGCTAAGGGTCTGAGCACGGAGGACATCCAAACAATCGGGGTGAGCTTGCTGCCGCACGTGCGATCGGTGTTAGAGCAAGTCTCGACCGAGTGGGTGATGGACGTTCGTCATCAAGACATGGCCCAAAGCATGCATGGAGAGAATGCTTCCGAGCCTGCGGATAGCCCGGAGCCTGGTTCAGGGGGAAATGTCGCCTCGGCCTCGGTTGGGCCGGACGTCGTGCCACCGGAGAGTGAGCAGCCTGCGCCTTCGTCGGCCGCGCTGCCAGCAGATGCCGTCGGATCGGTTTAATAGCTTGCAGAACATAAGTAGTTAGTAATCATAAAAAGTTTTAAGTTCATGGGGAGCCCCTCGTGTAAAACGTTCGTGGTGTGTTTTAATGACTGCAATCGGTTTTTGTTTTTGTGATGGAGTTGTTCGTTCGGGAAGCTGTTCCCTTTCGTTCCTTAGTTTTCCTTAGCATAGTTTTGTTTTTTACTTCCTTCCTCTCGCATTCGCCCATTTGTTCCATAGGCTGCAACCTTGTGAGCCCGGGGCGTGGCCCACGAGGCTCGGCTGGTCGTAACCGTAGGAATAGGCGGGGTGCGGTCGGTCGGAAAGTTTTAAGGCAAAGCTACGTAAGGTAAATTAGAGAACGGACTGCCCTTTTGTTCAGGTAGGAAGGAGTTTTTTCCATATGAAAGTAAAAGAGTACTCAAAGTAAAAACAGAACAGAGGGGTAGTAGAGCCCCCTAGTGGAGTCCCCGAGCGCCCCGAGCCGAAAAGTGTTCGGGTCGGGGTGCTCTTACAGGAGCGTACATTTAGTGAATAATGGTAAGACTGAAACTTAGGGAAAAAACGACGTAGCTGTTTCAAGCGTTAGGAGAGAACATCATCATCGTTGTCTTTCAGTCGGTAGGCGTCCGGTCGGATCTATTTAGCCTTCCGTCGTCTGGATCTCACCGACGTGCCCCTTCTTCTTCTGTTTTTTTTTTCGTCCCTCTACCGCTATCTACCTCAAAGCCAGCGCACCGAGGAGTTGGCGATCTCTTGTAGAGATGGTTGACGGGATAGTTGTGGTTGGTGCACGGGCTCTCCATGAGTTCGTGGAAGTGTCCCGATCGGTCCTGCTGAGGCTACGTGCCCTAGGTGGTCGGCCGTGACGACCGTCATGGAGTTAGCCGGTCGGCGGCGATCCTTTCTGTTTTTTTTCCTCTGCGTGGAGGGGCCCTCTTCTTGATCCTGGCGCTTGGCCTTACCTTTGTCGTGGCCTCCATTGGAGCGCGGTAAGAACAGCGCTTGCTGGGGGATGTGGGCAAAGGTCGGTGGTCCCAGGCCGTCAATGCTGGGACTCCGGTCGCCATCCCCACGAACTTAGACGTGGGAGGAGGCTACGCCATAATCTTTCGGAGCCCCCGGGCGTACGCGTCCGCGGGAGACACGAGGCCGTAGGGGAGCCGGCCGTACGGTGGCCGTGATGGGAATGACGGCAGCCCTTCCGGGTACTTGGCGGAAGATAGAATGTAGTAAGTAATGAACGACATGTATATTACTCACAGCGAGGTTTGAGCAGAGAGTTTGCTCGGAATGAAGCGCAGATGCCGCGCCGTTGAGGTCGCGCGTCCCGGAGTAGGTGGAGAACGTCTCTCCGACGGGTGCCGGGTCGCGAGTCTCCTCGTGGAAGTGGAGCACGCCGAGCCGGTCGGCGACGAAGTCCAGGCTTCCGAAGAGGAAGGCCTGGGATGGCTCGAAAATGAGTGGAACCCGCATCCCCGTAGGCGAGAGTGCGGGATACTCCAGTGAGCCGAGGCGAATCGTATCGCCCGAGCCCGCCACGGTGGGGGTGGCGGAAAAATGGGCCATCCGATGACCAAAAAGTGTTGAACGTACAACGTCTTCCCCACGGACGGCGTCAACTGTCGGTATAGAAAGTGACCAACTAGTGGATATTTGTAGTTTTGCTGTACGTTGTGATCGGAGGTAGCCTAGCACTCAATGACACAGGATTTAGACTGGTTCAGGCAACATGCCCTACGTCCAGTGTGGGTCTGTTGGTGACTTTATTCCTGAACCCAGGTGCTCGAAGTCTGTAGTGGGGTTACAAACAAGAAGGAGAAAGGAGGGGTGTACGAGTGGCCCGGTCGGGTCCGACCGGAAGGGTCGAGGGCGACAGGAACTCCGCTATGAGCTAGGTGTTCAAGCGTGTGCTTGAGGGGTTTCTGAGCTATCAATCTAGTGAGCCTGAGCTATCTAGTGAGCCTGAGCTTGAAGAAGTGGACCTCTGGGAAATCGATCCCCTTTGTTGGAGGGAGCGCATCACCTTTTATAGATAAAGGGGGTGGCTTTATATGTGAGAGGGAGAGAGTACAGGTGTTTGTAAGTCTTGTTGCCCACGCCGAATGAGGGTAGTGATGATGGTTGGCACGCATAACACTGTTGATGTCACTTGTAGAATGTCTGGTGCACATGGGGGGTTACGTTGGCTTCTTCGGGAAGGGTGGACGTCGGTACCTGCGAAATGCTGTTAGTATATGAGGACCCCTACCACGTGTACCAGGTATGGTGAATCCTGGTGCCCACTATCGATGTCCAGAGGCATGTGGGGGGCCTTTTTGCCGTATGGGAGCCCCAGCGGCGCCTACAATACTGTAGACATAAATGTCGGTGCCTACAATACTGTAGTCACAAATGTCGGTATCTCCCATGCTATTTGTGTCAGGTCGGTTGCGGAGCACTGTTCCCACAGGCGTACAGTCCTGATACTGTGTTTTGACTCTGTGCACTGCTTTCTCCGTTCACCCCCGGTCCCTTCCGAGCGGGAACCCCCGGTCGGATGGCTCCAATCGGTACTGGTCGTGCCAGTCGGAGAAGAGCGGCAAGCAGGCTTCCTATGAGTCTCCGGTCGGAGACGCGGGGTCGGAGTAGGAAGCAGCGTTTTGGGCCAGGCCTTCCGATCGGAGAGTCCGCCCGGAGGCGGCCGGCGTCCAAGACGAGCGCTCCGGTCGGAGAGGTGGGCCGAAGAAGTTGTTGAGCGGGCGTTCGTTCTTTCGGTGGACCTTCCGGTCGGCGACCGGCCTGTCCCCCCCGGCTCGTTGTTTTTTAGACTTTTCGAGCCGGCCCATGAGCTTCAGGCTGTTCTCCTGGGCCGAGCCCGGACGTCGAAGCCGGTCCCCGAGGGACCCCGGGTTTATGAACCCGACACCATGCATATACTATATCACATTGTCATATGGTCCATATGCAGCTAAGACATAGGCCATGATCCAAATATCTTTGTGAACAATTTTGAAAAGAAAAAGAATTTGCACACTCATCTAGCCATGGCATATAGCAGAACTAAAGTGGCATTCCAAATAGCTGGGCAAGCAAGAACATCACACAAAAAAAGCACAAACCAAATATTGCATTCACTGACAGATCCTGAGCATTGTTATTTCACTGTCTCAAACCGGTATCAGTGGACCATAAAAGTCCACATGCTTATAAATATTTCACAGAGCAAGAGCTGGAGGCTGCCTTCGGTGGCAAGTTCACGACGATGGTGAACTCAAAACAGGTTCTGATTGATTTTGTCTTGATCAGATTTGTATACTCGTCGCTTGTTGCTGGTTCCTGAGGTAGGTTTGTGATGATCGGAGCTCTTTGACATTGGCCTGCCAAAAGAACTGTAAGAGCGGTCCCCTCTTCCCTTGCCGCTGCTGCGATGGGAACCGCTAGATTCCTGACAAATGTAAGATGTACATGACAAAAACGTTATTTCAAGTCTCTTTGGGCTTGAGGCCAACAAATGACAGGAGAAAGGATTCACCTTTGTGAACTGGGAGGAAGACTGGAATTGTGCGGATACATCAGATTTGCTCTTGGCAATGCATGGTGTCAGGCAAGGATTAAGATCCTTGCTGAACATTTCATCTGGGCTGCCATAGTTCGGCGTCTCAGCTTCCCCAATGCTGCACTCCTGTTTTAGACAGCAAATAGCAAGAATAGATCATCAATAAAGTGAGATAAAGCTGGTATGACAACTAGGCACTCGTTAACATAGAACACAATCCATGCGTGTTTTAAAGGGGTAAGGGAAGAGTGTGCAAAATATTGTTTTGCAGCAATGAAAGAAGAGTAGGAACCCTCTATCTAAAAGGAAAAGAACCAGAAGCTGAAACCAAACAACCAAATTACATCCTCTCTTTTCAGATACATGATATAGTTCGCCGATGATTACAAAGCTTTTACAATGTTTACAAAATTAATAATTGCAACTATGAAGAGTTTGAACTAACAAGGTAACAAGCTACTGAAAAATGTTCTAAGTTGCATTGTGCAAATGTTGCTGTATCACATTAAGAATAAAAAACTAAAGTATTTCATGCCGTGCAGGTAAAAACAGAAGCTAGAAAAGGCTAGACAAATGGAGTCCATGTATTGTATCATCATTGGATTAGGCCGATAATAGTTTCTTATTATTCAGCTGTCAGTACTAGCTAATTTCTGAAGTAACCATTTTCCAGTTTGCTTCTGCAGTACCTTGTAATACATAAAATAAATTAGTTATAAAAAATACATAAAATAAATTAAGGCCTTGTTTAGTTGGTTATTTTTTTGGGAAATGGTACCGTAGCACTTTCGTTGTTATTTGGCAATTAGTGTCCAATCATAGTCTAATTAGACTTAAAAGATTCATCTCGTGAATTTCGTCTAAACTGTGTAATTAGTTTTATTTTTTATTTATATTTAATGCTTCATGCATGCGTCCAAAGATTCGATGTGACGGGGAATCTTGAAAAATTTTGTAAAATTTTGGAAAGTAAACCGGCACTAACACAAAACAAGTATAAGCAATTATATAGAAGTAAAAGAATCTTTTATGTATAGCAACAACCCAAATAGCTGCTCTTGTCAGGAAATGCAAATTGCATACTGAAAAAACTATAAATGAAGCAGCGAACTGATTCCCCAACTTACTATGCTCAACCTACAGATTAATTAGTAATTATCTTCAAAACAGCAGGCATATTGCACGCGAATAGACTTTTCGGCCCCCGCGTCGCTCCTCCTTGGGGCGGCTCGGGCGGACACCAAACCTAGCGCCGCCGCCCACACCACCTCCATTCCCTGCCTCGCCGCTGCCGGAGCGGGTCACCGGAGGTCCGTGCGACCGTGAGGAAGGTGGAGGCGGGGTTTCTCTCCCGCACAGTGGAGGTCCTAGCAACCTCAAGCGACGGTGGTGGCACTCTCTCGGCTCCGGCGGGCGGATCCGCTTCCCCCTGGCCCGATCTGCGAAGGACGGCCAGATCCGGTGGGTTGGAGCCCAATCCCGGCCCTACCGGTCTAGGAAGCAGCGGTGGAGCTCGAGATGCGAAGAAGTTGTAGTGGTGGCGACTCGGAGGCCGCGCGAGCGGCGTGGATGGCTGCTGGATCCGAGCTGCGGTGGGACGAGGTGCCACGCGACAGCGGCGTGGAGGCGAGCGGCGCAGAGGTCCATGCGGCGGCGCAGAGGGCCCATGGTGGCGGTGTGGAGCACTGCGCGGCGGCCGCGGGAGGACCGCGCGATGGCGGCGAGGCGCGCTCGGCGGAGGAGCAGCACCAGGTGTTGCGGCGCGCGCGCAAGGGTCCGCCCTGCGACGGCACGACGACCAAGCGCTGCGGGACTGCGATGGTGCCGTGAAGGTGGTGGATCCGGTGCAGGTGGCCGCGGACATTGAGGCGCGAAGGCTTTGATGTGGCGTGGCGTAGATGGTGCTGAGATGGCAGATCGGCCGGTGGTCTGCAGGTGTTGGTCCATTTCGGCGATAGGCGCGTCTTCTTGAGGTTCTCCTTGTGCTGTCCTTGCTGTGCGTTGGATGCGCTCCATTGACCGACTGCGGTAGGACGGTTGAGGTTAGGGTGAAAGCCTGGACGGCGACGCCAGCGGGCGCCGCTTTCCTCCCAAGAGGCGTCTGTTAGTTGATCTCCACCAATAGGCCCAACGGCCTATTGGGCCTTTATCTCTGCTCCCTGATCGGGGGAGCCCAACCCTAATCCGGTTGGTGGGCCTCTGTCGCACATCACACATAAAAAGGAAGGTGGAGGTGAGGGCTCGGACTATGAGGTTCGCCGTGAGCCGCCATTCCCACCTACAGTAACCCAAATCCGATCTAAAAGCCGTGCTGCCAGCGACGGGATGAGCCCCAACCACCGCCGTTGACCCACTGCAGGGTCACCATCGGACCGCTGTCTCTCCACCAGCGCCACTGGACTTCACCGCCACCGCGCTGGACGTCTTCTACACTGCGGCACCGGCGTCTACCCGCTACGGTGCATCTACTGAGAAGGCGAGGAGTCTACCCGGATCTACGGGTCATACAGAGGTACCAATCCTACGATCCTAACAATGGTATCAGAGTCGGTTCGGAAAAGAGAGGATCAATCCAAACCGAAAAGAACTAGGGAAAAAGAAAAGGAAAAGAATGAAAAGAGACCTCGCCGTGAACCGAGCGAATCATTTCGCCGGCGAGGGAGAAGAAGACCGAACTCGGTCTTTGCTCACGAACGGAGCAGGCCAGCCTGGGTGCAGGGTTAAAGCCGCTGACGGCGGGCGCTCTCACTCATTGGGAGCGCAGACGCCGGCGAGGGGCGCGGCGACGACGCCGGGCTCATTGCTCCATCTGCTCCGCCTTGCTTGCTCTCGTTCGCGCGCTCGGTGCTCATTGCTACCGAGAAGAAAGAACGAGGCGAAGAGAGAGAAGAGGAGGGGCGAATGAGATAGGGTTTCAGGAGAGCGACGCCGGTCGCTGCTTTTTGTTCGCCCGAGAACCACGAGAAAGCAATTGTCGGATCTCGATCCAGCGGTGCCGGTTGATCGGGCCGCTCTCGCCCAAAAGGCGAGGCGAGGCGTAAGGCCACTTTCTCGGCCCGAGCCCAAAGTTGCGGCTGGGGCGGGAGGGCGCGCTTGGTCAGGTTGTGGGCCGTGGGCGTTGTGTGTAAAAGCAGAAAGAGCAAGAGCCCAATTTTTCTTTTTCCTAGAAAATTGAATATGCAAATTGGCTCAAAAGAAAAATAGAAAAGTAATTTTTCCCTGTGGGTAAAATTCAAGAAATTGATTGAAAGTTTTTTTCCGCTGCTAAAAAAAATACATTCTCCAGTGTTTTGAACCGACGTGATATTTAACTGGAGAAAAAGAAAGTTCTTCCAGTAAATGTTTATTTTCTAGAAAATTGATTAATAGATTAAAGGAAATAGAAAAAGCAATTTTCCCCGTGGGTAAAATTCAAGGAAAAGAGGGTTTTTCCACAGCCAAAGAAATTGGTTATTCTCCAGTTAATTTGTACCAACGTGATATTTAATTGGAGAAAAGGAAAGTTTTTCCACTGCTAAAGAAATTGTTGATTCTCCAGTTATTTTGAACCAATGTGATATTTAGTTGAAGAAAAAGAGTTCTGATATGATTATGATGTTGTTATTTTCTGACCAACGTTGTTAATAACAATATCGTAATATTAATGATTTATGCATTAATTCTACTTCTGTCCAACGATGATGTAGAATTAGTGTATGAGAACAGTTGTAAAAATTAATGATTTATGCATTAATTCTATTTCTACCCAACGGTGATATAGAATTAGTGTGTAAGAACAGATGTGAAAGTTAATGATTTATGCATTAATTCTATTTCTGTCCAACGGTGATGTAGAATTAGTGTATAAGAATAGTTGTATGTTTTGATTTTGACCAATGTTGGAATCAAGGCATGCAAATGGTGTTAATTTTATGTTAAGAAAAGTTTTGACCTGATTTTCATCTTGTCTAAGGTGGACTGGGTAGTCACCTCACCGTGTTCCACTGAGATTGTGGCACCGGTGAGGGAGACAAAAGTGAATGATGCCACTTGGACAACTAAAGAAAGGGATTTTGAATCCCAAAAGATATCATATGGCTTTTGAGCATAGGAAGTGGGTCACTGCAAACAAGAATTGTTTGGCGGTGATAAAGAACATGACTGAACCTGCAATTGTGGGCTCAATCCCAGAATATGACACGGTCACCGAATACCTCGATAGAATAAAGAGTCAGTTCACTGGCTCTTCAAAGACATATGCCACTTAGCTGATAAAGCAGTTGGTCACAGAGTGTTACTCTGGAAATGGTGGCATAAGAGAGCTCACGATGCGTTGTCGAAATTATGGCACTGTCGTTTAGACCATATTTTGAGGGGGAGAATAGAAAGATAAGTTAAGAATGATATTCTTCCTCCATTAGAGCTCTCAGATTTAGAACAATGCAGAGAATGCATAAAAGGAAAGTATGTAAAGAAGATTAAGAAAGATGCCAAATGAAGTGCAGGAGTTTTATAGATTATTCACACAGACATCTGTGGTCAGTTTTTCTATAAAGAGTGTGGATGGTAATGATTCGTTCATAACATTCACATATGACTACTCCCATTATGGCTATATTTATCCAATCAAAGAAAGAAAAGATGTATTGGATAAATTTAAGATATTAAAGATTAAGATAGTCGTCCGACTGGTGGAGGAGTACTACGGTTAGCATACCCTAAAAGAATGGCATAGTAGCCCAGTATTCTATACCGGGCAAACCTCAGCAGAATAGAGTAGCTAAAAGAATCAATCGTACCCTGATGGATATGGTGGGCAGTATGATAAGTTACTCCACCTTACAGCTTGAGCTGTGAATGGAGGCATTGAAAACGGCCATTCATATTCTCAATAAAGTATCAAGAAAATCGGTGCCCAAAAACACCGTATGAGTTGTGGATGTAAAGAGTACCCTCACTAAACACTTGAGTGTGTGGGGAGTCTCATTGAGGCTAAAGTATTTAACCCAAACATTGGAAAACTAGATCCTAAAATAGTAAGTTGCCATTTCATTGGCTACAGAGAAAAGTCAAAAGGTTTTCGTTTCTACTATCCAGAGTGATATACAAAGTTTGTGGAAACGAGACACGCTGTCTTCCTAGAGGACGAAAAGATGAGGGGGAGCATGGTAGCTCGAGAAATTGTCCTTGAAGTGAAGCGGGTGTATGCGCCCACTCCAATGATTCATGAGCCATTTTTCTCACTACATCTTTGTAGCGCAGCAAGCAGTGCTAGATCTTTGTGGTGCCAAGACTGTTGTTATCCCACCGTGGCAACAATGAATGACGATGAGGAACTGTTCTTCAGATTCTATAGAACCTATTGCCACACATGAGGGGGAGCAACAACAGCCTCAAATAGAAGATGTGCCAAATGTGAAGGCCCCTAGTAGGTCTCAAAGAGTTAGAAAATCAGCTATTTCTGCTGATTATGAAGTGTATAACACTAAGTAATTCCAAATGAAAGATGAAATGAAATCGATGAATGTCAATAAAGTTTGGGATTTGGAAATAATTCCTAAAAGAGTCAAAACAGTAGGCTATAAATGGGTCTATAAGACTAAACATGACTCTCAAAGGAATATAGAGACATAAAGTGTGACTTGTGGCAAAAGGCTTCATGCAAAGAGAAGGGATTGATTACAATGAGACATTTTCTCCAGTCTCATGTAAAGTTTCCTTCAGAATCATAATGGCATTAGTGGCACATTACGATTAAGAATTACATCATATGGATGTAAAGACGGCATTTCTCAACAGAGACTTGGAGGAAAATATTTACATGGCACAACCGAAAAGTTTTGTCATGGAAGGAAAAGAACGAATGGGATACCGTCTAAAGAAATCCATTTATGGATTAAAGAAAGCTTCAAGACAGTGGTACTTGAAGTTTGATCGGTCAATAAAGAATTTTAGGTTTTAAAAAAGAATGTAGAGGACAATTGTGTCTATGCAAAGTTTAAGAATGGGAAGTTTATCTTCCTTGTCCTGTATGTAGATGATATCTTACTTGCTAGTAGTTATGTCAGTCTACTATAGGTGACAAAGAAGTTTTGTCCTCAAAACTTGATATGAAAGATCTTGACGAAGCCTCGTTCGTTTTAGGGATCGAGATTCATCGAGATAGAAGAAAATGGTATAATGACTGTCACAAAAGGCATACATGGAAAAGATCTTAAAGAAATTCAGTATGCACAAATGTAGTCCCTCACCTGCTCCTATAGTCAAGGGCGACAGATATGGGGATTTTCAATGCCCCAGGAACCAATATGAGCTCAATTGATAAAGTGAAAGTGGTTCCATATGCTTAAGCTGTCGGAAGCTTGCAACATGCTCAAGTATGTACACGCCCTGACTTGGCATTTGTTACTGGGTTTTACTTGGCAGATTCCAGAGCAATTCTGGAATAGAACACTGAAATTAGTAAAGAAAGTCTTGCATTATTTGCAAGGAACTAAAGGCCTCATGATGACATATAGAAGATCTGATTCACTCCACATAGTGGGATATTCAGATTCTGATTATGCGAGAGTGAATGCATATCCAGACGTGGATTTTCTATCATCTCGCAAAGGAGAGCTATTTCATGGAAAAGCTCAAAGTAAACTGTCACTACATCGCCCACAATGTATGACAGGTTTGTAGCGTGTTATGAGGCAGGCGGTGGTGTGAACTAACTAACGAAGTTCATACCCGGTTTGAAGGTGGTTGATGACATCTATAGACCACTAAAGTTATCTGCGATTATAATCTGCAAAGATACAGGATGCTCACAACATAAGTCAAGTGGTGCTTTGCCAAACACATTGACATAGAGTATTATGTTGTGAAAGATAAAGTCCGGGATCAAGTCATAAGTCTTGAGCATATAAGAACAGAAAGGATGCTCATGGATCCGCTTACAAAAGGCTTACCACCCAACATGTTCGAGAGGACATGGTGTTTAGAGAACATGTAGCTAGCTTAGGTTTAAGGGAAAGCCTAAAATATTCCCGGATAAAAGAATGCCCAAAAGATAAGTATCTATTTGAAGCAGTAGTGAGTTGTAGTTGTTAAGTCTATCGGCAATGGACCGTGGCGATGAGACATGCTCTATGAGCTAATCTGTAATGGAATGAACAAAAGTAAATGATATGAAAGTGAAAGATGGAATGAGATCAAGGGGGAGAATGTTAGTTGATCTCCACCAATAGGCCCAACGGTCTATTGGTCCCTTATCTCTGCTCCCTGATCGGGGGAGCCCAACCCTAATTCGGTTGGTGGGCCCCTGTCGCACAGCACGCATAAAGGGGAGGTGGGGGTGAGGGCTCTGACTATGAGGTTCGCCGTGAGCCGCCATTCCCACCTACAGTAACCCTAATCCGATCTAAAGGCCGTGCTGCCAGCGACGGGATGAGCCCCAACCACCGCCGTCGACCCACTGCAGGGTCACCACCGAACCGCTGTCTCTCCACCAGCGCCACTGGACTTCACCGCCACCGCGCTGGACGTCTTCTACATTGCGGCACCGACATCTACCCGCTACGGTGCATCTACTGAGAAGGCGAGGAGTCTACCCGGATCTACGGGTCACACAGAGGTACCAATCCTACGATCCTAACAGCGTCCACCCCGTCCTACCCTGCCAGGTTCCCTTGGGTGAAAACCCTGCCTATTGGTGGGCCGGCGATGGCGGCGCCTTTGGTGTCGCAACCTTCCTGAAGGCATTGTCGTGGGCACCGGCGTTGCGTCTAGCATCCCTCGCCCGGCGATGGCAACTAGTTGCGTCATTTGGGAAGTCGGAGCTGCCGTCCTTGATGAGTTTGGCAACGATGACTTGAAGGCGTTGCTGGTTTGTGACAGTGTCATTGAGAACTTTGTAGAATTCGTTTTCATTAGCTGCTTCTGGACTTGAGCTCGTGGCTGAGCTCGTAGTTGTAGGTAGTGATACAAGTCGTGTAGCTGTTATAAGCAGTGTTGTATGGTTTTCGGGCCCATCCTTATAATCTGGGTCAATTCTCCTCTTCTTATTAATATAAAAGCCGGAACATAAGTTCTCGGATCTTTCAAAAAAAAAAAAGCAGGCATATTGCTATTTGCTAATGGGTAACCAGGTCACATGGGATTTAACTCAAGGTGTAATTTCGCAAACAGAAGGCATATTGCTATTTGCAGATGGATAACCAGGTCACATGGGATTTAACTCAAGGTGTCATTTCGCAAACAGCATATAAACATGCCAATCATGTCGCTGTAAGGTGGTGGAGTAATCGAACACACCAGAGAGAAAGAGGTCTCCTCGTTAAACCCCGGCGTCCTAGGGGAAGAGCAGTATCCATCCTCGTCAAAGCACGACCTTGCCGAGTGCTTCTCAGCCTTAACCTGCACAAAGTGAAATATCAAGCGCGGAGCATTAGAGATCGACCGCCGAGGCGCAATAGCAAAGAACACACGGCGAGACCGTGACAGGGGAACGTACCTGGGCGAGCTCCTGCGCGAGGCATTGGATCTGGTCGGTGAGCGTGGAGATCTCGTCCCGGAGGCGGCGGTCGGGCTCCGGCTCCGGCTCCGCGTCCGGGAACAGGACGGCGTCTTTGAGCGTCCTGATCTCCTCCCGCTGCCGCAGGCACAGGTCCTTGAGCCGCTCCACCTCCCTGTCCTTGTTCTCCAGCTGCAGGCGGAGGCCGGCGATCTCGTCCTCCTGCGCCTTGGTCTGCGCCAGGAGCTCCCGCTCGCTGCGCAGCACCATGCCGAGCGTCCGCGTGTTGGCGTTGTTGCCGCCGTTCTTGACGTCCGTCAGGGCCTTCGTCTTCCTGGGCGCCGCCGCCTCGGTGGACGAGGCTTTCTGGAACAGCTTCCGCGACAGCCCCGGCAGCTTCCCGCCGCCGTTGTTCTTCGCTGAGGCGGCGGCGGCGGCAGGAGGGACCGGGAGCTGGTTCTTGGAGGAAGGCGGCTTCTTGTCCATGGAGATGAGCCGCCGTAGCACGGAGCCCAGGTTGCCGTGGGCTTGCGGCTGCGGCTTGGCGCCCAGTAGATCGCGGCCGGATCTCCCCGCGACCACCAACGCGCGGCTGCTGCCGTGCGCTCCTCCCGGGGTCGCGGCGGCCGCGGAAGACGCCGCGCGCCGCGGCGAAGGGGACGGGGACGGGGAGTCGTAGGCCGCGTAGCGCGACGCCGCGGACGCCTTCTTCATCTCTGCCTACGAAACCGTGGAGGCGGGAGGCCGGATGGGGAGGGCTGGGGAGGCGGAGGAGAGCGCTGGGGAATGGGGAGCGGCCGGCGGCGTTCGAAATTCAAATGGCACGGCCTCCTTCCGTGGCCTGCCGACGTGTCAGTGGAAGTGTGGTACTAGCGCGGACTGCGCGATCTCCTCGCGTTTCCGCCTTGGTAAGGTGTTGCCCACGGAGTGACGGACGCCTTTTGTTTCGCAAAGGCTAGCGCCTGCCGCTCGTGTCAGCGGCGCCTTTTTTGCTGCACCTGCACGCCGGGCAGGGCCCCAAGGGGCAAGGGGAATTCAAAGTTTCGAACCGGATCCAGCGCCAAACACGCGAGCTCTTCGTCCTTTGGAATTCCTAGTACTTTTGACCAGGCTTCCTCAAACTGGTCCGGACCGGCGGCCGAGTGGGCGTCTCGCCCGCCGCTGAGATCTGGGAACAGGCGGGATCGGCGAGATGGGTGAAGCACTTTTTGTGGGTTAGTGTTTAAGGTTTGTACTAATCATAAAAATTTTGTTTGAGATTTGTCAAAAAAAATTGATATTATTATATGGGCGAGTTTGGTTCTACAACTACGCGAGCTTGGCTCGCATCTCCTAAGGATTGGCCTCGCCGGGTAGACCACATGCAAGCAAGATACACGTGTTGTTGAGCTCACCACTTGTTGTATTGACTGAAATAGGGTATCTAGAAATACAAGTTTACTTGTTTGGTTTATTGCATATATATAAGAAAGTTTAAAAATATCATATTCTAGTATATGCCACAAAAACCTATCACTGTACCACATCATCATACCGGGTAGTCAGGATGTCACCTAACATAAAAGACAATCACATTTGTATCGACATTTGCCTCGGCTAAAACGCGAAAAGAAGAGGGTGTAAATAATTAAATCATCATAGTGGTATAGATCAACATTACCTCGCGTAAATGATAGAAAGAAGGGGAACTTGAGTACTCATAACCTGTGAGCATTGCATAAAAAAAATAAAGTTTGTATGTAAGAAGTTAAGTATCATAGCACCTGTCCATTGCCTCAACAAATAATACAAAGAGTAAAATGCATCAGAGGTTCATTAATTTTTGAGAGGGTGTCATATAGGTCCATCAACCTTGAAACTGCATTTAAATTTTTTAAGTGATTCACCACAGGTCCATACATCTTCGTTTTATATTTATATTTATAAGAAATCCCCTATAATTATTTTTCTTTCACAGGCTTACCCTTCATGTCTTCCAGTTTCACAGGATGGCGAACGCACGGAAACCTCCGGGGCAATGGCCGCCTCCTGCCCTTCTTCCTTCTCTTGCTTCCTACAGCCGATTTCACGGCGGTGCAGGGCCAAGGGCAGCAGCAGCAGCCTGGAGGGGCATACTACTCGCTGAGGTTTAGCCCATCAGCCGCGCGCTCGCGGCGCCAACAGCGTGGGCCTGATGCGGCGGTGCTAGAGTTCTTCCCGACCATGCATGGCGTTGCCAGGGACCGACATGCGGGACCCATGGCGGTGTAGTTAGGCGGTGAGGAATGTACTGTTGCCAGTCTGGCAACAGAGGCGTGCGTCGGTGGTGTGCAGCTATATAAGGAAGCCGTTGTAACTGAATCAATCTCAACGAAGAACAGAAACCTTCCTGTCGACTAAGAAATACACCTGCCTCGCGGATTCCCGCCGCGTTCCATCTGTTCTTTCCAATTTCTTGCTATCTACCCCCAAATTCCCCTCTAGATCCTATCCCAGCGACCCTAGTGCTTCCGCCTCCACCGCCCGCGTCGTCAACTCTGATGATTCCACCCCACCACCCGCTCCCTCAACATTGGTGTATCCACAAGCTCCCGAGGCGATGCGGTTCGATCTCAACACGCACCCGTCCTCGTCGAGCTCACCTTCGCCCCATGGGCACGGCCAGTGCATCGATCACCGGGTTGTGGTCGGGGGGATCCTTGGATCTCTCCTAGGGCACCCGGTCACGGGTACGCTTCCTGATCCTCCTGATGTCGTTGAACCTCATTGTGAATTGGATTTGACTACCATTCATTGTTCGATTCTGGTCCCTAAGATGGATTTCCCCAAATTCAATGGGGAAAATCCGAGATGGTGGCATGACCAGTGTGTTCTGTATTTCGAGGTATACGGCATTCCGCTGCTGATGAAGACGAGGTTCGCTGCCCTCAACTTTCAGGGAGATGCCGCCAATTGGAACTCCGGTGCTATGACATGATTGTCGAAGAGTGTCGCTGCAGAATGTGACCAACTAGTAAATATTTGTAGTTTTGCCGTACGTTGTGATCGTATGTGGCCTAGCACTCAATGACACAGGGTTTATACTGGTTCAGACAACATGCCCTACGTCCAGTTTGGGTCGGTTAGTGACTTTATTCCTGAGCCCAGGTGCTCGAAGTCTGCAGTGGGATTACAAACGAGAAGGAGAAAGATGGGGTGTATAAGAGGTCCGGTCGGAAGGGCCGAGAGCGACTTGAGCTACGTTATGAGCTAAGTGTCCAAGCGTGTGCTTGAGGTCCGAACCTGGTGGTTCTGTGGTTGTGGACTAGAGAACTTGGTTGACCTAATGAATCTAAGAAAGGCTCTTCAAAGGGGCCTTAGAGAGAAAAAAGCCTCCCCTTGTTGGAGGGAGCGCATCCCCTTTTATAGATAAAGGGGATGACTTTACAAGTGAGGGTACGTATGCTACTGAGCTTTGTTGCCCCATGCCGACGGGTACAAGATAATGATAGGCGCCTACAACACTGTTGATGTACTGTAGAATGTCAGATGCATGTGGGAGGTTGTGTTTGCCTTCTTCTAGAATGGTAGACGTCGGTACCTGTAGATAATGTTCGATGCCTAGAGGCATGTGAGGAGTGTCACCATGTTCACCCCATACGGTAAATCCCGGCGTCCACAACACTATCGGTACCCGGAGGCACGTGGAGTGCCTTATCGTACGGGAGTTTTAACGGCGCCTACAATAATGTAGAGGAAAATGTCGGCGCCTACAATACTCTGTTTTTGTGTCGTGGTGGTTGCAGTCACTGTTCCTCTGTGTGTCTGGTGGTATGGTCCCAGTATCGTGGTTTGACTTATGCGCCCTGACTTGCTTTCTCCGTTCGCCCCTGGCTCCTTCTGAGCGGGCGTCCCCGATCGGATGGCCCCTGTCGGTTCTGGCCGCGCTAGTCGGAGAAGAGCGGTGAGCAGGGTTTCTGTGCCCCCCGGTCGGCGACGCGGGGTCGGAGTCGGAAGTAGCGTTTTGGGCCCGGCCTTCCGATCGGAGAGGCCGTCCGGAGGCGGCTGGAGCCTGAAGCGAGCGCTCCGGTCGGAGAGGTAGGCCGAAGTAGTTGATGAGCGGGCGTGGTTCCTCTTCGTCCAGACCTTCCGGTTGGTGACTGGACCGCCCTTCCGGCCCGTTGTTTTAGACTCTTGGGCCGGCCCATGAGTTGTGTGCTGCTTGTTTGGGCCGAGCCTCGGCGTGGAAGCCGGTCCCTGAGGGACCCCGGGTCTATGAACCCGATAGGCACCCCCGAGCCCTCGGGTGATTCGGGCAGAATCGTCCGAGGGATTTTTATCTTCTTGGTGGTGCGTGCGGCGCACCATGTGTAGTGTAGCCCAGGTGTTCAGCGAGAACCGTTTGGGGGGTTTCTATCTTTGTCGATGGGGGAGGTTTCCGTTTGGTCGGTGGGTGCTGGCGAAGCGCATTCTGCTGGTGCAATCTCAGAGCCCTGGGCGGTTCGGGTAGAACCGTCTGGGGGGTGTTTGGTTTAGCGGGCATGTGTGCGTGTTTTTAGTTTGAGATGGAGTTTGTCCTAACCAGGGCGTCGTTGCGTAGCCAAGGTGTTTTAATCACTCGAGAGATCGGGTGAGAGGGAGCTCGTGGATCCTGGCGTCGGTGCGTTCCGTAGGATCGGGTGAGTTTGTTAGTTTAGACGAGACAGAGCTTATTGAACCTGGCGTCGGTGCACGCCGTGGATCGGGTGAGTCAGAGTCGCGGGGCGAGATCGGGGTCGCAGACCCAAGTGCTTGGAGCGTAGTCGGAAGCGTAGCCGGATGGGGCGAGATCGGGTCGTGGACCCTGTGTGCTTGGAGCACGATCGAAGCGTAGCGGATGGGGCGAGATCGGGTCGCACCCGTGTGTTTTGGAGCACATCGAAGCGCGGCCGAATGGGGCGAGATCGGGTCATGGACCTGTGTGCTTGAGCCTTGATGAAGCGAGCTGGATGGGAGAGATCGGGTCGCAGACCTGTGTGTTTTTTGAGCGCAATGAAAGCGCAACCAGATGGGCGAATCGGGGGTCGCACCTGTGTTTTGGAGCGCGATGAAGCGTAGCGGATGGGCGAGATCGGGTCGCAGACCCATGTGTTTTGGAGCGCAGTCGAAAGCGTAGCCGGATGGGGCGAGATCGGGGTCGCAGACCCAGGTGTTTTGGAGCGTAGTCGGAAGCATAACCGGATGGGGCAAGATTGGGGTCGCAGACCTAGGTGTTTTGGAGCGCAGTCGGAAGCGTAGCCAGATGGGGCTAGATCGGGGTCGCAGACCTAGGTGTCTTGAGCCCCCGAGCCTTGCTGGGCTTTAGTAGGGGTCGGTGTGAGTTATGTGTGTTACCCCATCCTCGGTTCCTCACAACCGAAGGGGCTGAGTTTTGACGCTTGTCCCGATCGCTCGGGCTCGAGTGATGCGCTCGGTGAGTTCGCTAATGGGTGTGATTGAGTGGAATTCGGGTCCGTCGTTCGTAACGAGGTCGGCATAGCCCTCTTGTGACATTCCATTACTCCTTTACCTGCTACCTGGTAGATGCCTGGGTCGTTCCGGAGACCGACCCAGGTGGCCTAATGGCCTCCCCTCGATGAAGATTCTATGGGCTTGACGAGAGGTTGAGGATCGAACGAGAAGGTTGAGATGACCCAGTCTGCCAGACCGGGTGAGGGCCGCACGGGGCTCATTTATGATTTTCTCCCCTGGCTCTGTTGATTGCTCATGTCGAATGA